CTAATTGATAATGATCAAAGGTCTTACGTTGGGAAATAAAAACATATGATACTATATTGGGGAAAATCATTATGTTTTAGTCCTATTTAGGTAAATTTCTCTTTTTATAACTTATTTATATAAGCCATTTTTTGTTATAATAAACTAGTATCACACTTACACCAGGCAAAATTTGACCTGACCCGTTATTGTGTCAAGGAACCAATTCAACCAAAAGCTCAAGTTTGTGATTGTGGCCTTGGAATGATTGTTATATATACTCTAACACGCCCCCCTCACGTGCAGGCGTGACCTCTTTAAGCCTTGCACGTGAAACCTTAATTTTTTTAAACTAGGGAGCGGCGAGTTTTGAACTCGTGACCTCTTGGTCATCAAGGCTCTGATACCATGTCAAGGAAACAACTCAACCAAAAGCTCAAGCTTGTGATTGTGGCATTGGAATGATTGTTATATATACTCTAACAATCCGAAACCCGATCTAAAATTAGCGAGTTTTGAACATCGATTTTGTGACCCAAACCCGAAGACTCGTTAAATTTTTGGGTCAGATCGGGTCAGGTTGAATTTGACCCAACGGATTATGCACTTAATTGTTTACTATTATTAGTTATTTAGTTTTAATAATTCATTTAGAATATGATATACCCATTAGTTACTCAAAACTCAAAAGGTCTAAAACATAATCTAAATCTGTAGAAAATAATAATGGAAGAGAGTAAAGCATTTAAGTAACTTTTATTCCTACCATATTTCTATTCCTACTATAACAAGAACTAAGCAAACTAGGAAAGATACTAAACCGAATCCCAAAGGGATTCATGTTTCCTTCTTTGATCCGGCTTCCTTCTTCTGTCGCCAACAAAATCCAACGACATTCTAGTCTCTCTCTGTCTCTTTCATTTTTCCACTCTTCCACCGTCTGTCAATATTAGGTGCTAACTCTATCAAAGTGATGAGAAGCAAAAGAACAATAGCGAAATTTCTAATCTTATTTCATCTTCTTCAGTTGCGTCTGCTGGTAACTCAAGCTTTAATCCTTATCTTCTAAATTTTTTGGTATATTATAAAAAAAATTTGGTATTGTTTAATTTTTTTGGTATACTACATTTTTTGTATGCTGCATTTATGTAATGACGATGCATGTTTTGGTAGATTCTACAAAAAGTGTAATGGTAGTACCATGTTTAAAATATAAACAAGATTTGACTTTTCAAGAATCTCAATTTTTATATAATGCATATAATTTTGTGGTATGATGAAAGAATCTTCAATTTTTTTCATCTACTGTAACTTTATTTTGTATGCTGCAAAAATATGATTTTTTGGGTATATTGCAATTTTCTTTTGGTATGCTGCAAGTAGCTACCTGTAAACTTATGTGATTTCTTTCTTTGTTTTGAACAATTCATTGATCACTTCATCTCTAAATAGCAAAGAAAATTAATGTTTAAATACGCCTCTTAACCCGTTAGGTCAACTCGAATCTGATAACTCTGGGTCATGAAAAGGCACTCTTAGACTCGAACCCGAAGTGACTCGAACCCGAAATAACTCGAATCCGATAATACCGAACCTGAACCCGACCTCACCGACGATTTTTCCAGGTCTAATCACACTCATGTGTTGCACGAATCGTATTTACATTATAAAATTATATTGATATCATTATTGAAAAATAGAAATAGATCATATAATGGATCAGATCAGAATATAAAGTTTTCATTATTTTACAGCATGGATATCAAATTAATTACAAATTTTGAAAAACTTTCTATAAACTACATTACTAGTACAATTGTGGAAAAATTCTCTACGTTGTATACTAGAATCTTAAGTCATTATAATTTATCACTCTTGAAACTGTAACATATACTTATTCATGACTAAATATCGGTTTCTCTATTAAAAATTCTACTTGTTTTAGATATTAGTCTTGACTATTATTAATCGTTATTGCATATAAAGTAATAACATAAAATTGTCTTCTTTGAAACATGGATGAAACTCTTGCATAAGATGGTGTCAATGATTGTAATGCCTCAACCTGCATATACTACTATACTACCATATTGGTATCCAAAGTTCCAATCACACATATTTTGAAAACAATTCAAAATCCTAATTTAAAACATTTAATTTTAAACAAAATTCATCGGAGTAATTTAAAACAAATACAGAAGCTTATATCAGGCATCCAATTCAAACACAACTCGAGAATCAAACCCGAAAAAATAATAAGGTATTCGAAAATATTTAGATATCTAAATCATCAAGAAAACCCATGCACATCTCATCATCTTCATCGCCCTTCGAGATTGGATCAAGATTAGTCTTGAACATAATTACATTCGTGTAACAAATTAAAACAAACATACTGCACGCTCAGCAATGACATTGAGTGAGAAATATCTAAAATTCATCCATACACATAAATGAAATCACTAACTCGCAATATCACATCATATCATGCATACAATATAACATATATGACATAATATTTTTGAGAAAAGAGCATCGTTTACCCGCAAACTCTTTAGAAATTGCACGGTTTACACTTGAATTTAAAAAGTGCATTGTTTACCCCCGAACTCTTCAGAAATTGTATGGTTTATCTCTTAATATTAAAAATTGTACCAAATGCTACTGAACAATTTAAAACGTTACACACTTGCATTATTTCGAGTACATGGTACTTGGCCAGATAATATGCAAGTCATCCAAGTTGTTCCAGTATATAGAGAAGATGGTATTGCATTATTTCTCACATTCAATCACAATGTGGATTACACAGTTCCTTAATTGAATGAGGCGCACAACATACATGACTGTACTGTAGCGTAGATCTAAGTTAGGCTTCACTATTAGACATAGCTTCAAATTATCTTTTTGTCAAAGCCTTCTTCTCACGACGATTGGAAATCATAGATGAAAATCTCATGCTCGAAGATCCTCGATTGATGAACAACAACTTCTAGGGTTGGGTTACATAAAGAACAACAACTTCTAACATTTTAGGATATATAAATAGTGCAATGTTTTAAATTGTTCAGGAGTATTTAGTGCAGTTTTTTATGTTAAGGGGTAAACTGTGCAATTTCCATAGAATTCGGGGTTAAACGCTGCATTTTTTAAAGTTTAAGGGTAAATTGTACAATTTCTGAAGAGTTCGAGGGTAAACGGTACACTTTTCTCTAATATTTTTACTCTGTTTTGCTATTATTTACAACGAAAAGTTAGAAACTTTGGACCACGAAAAGTAATCCTTTAGGCTTCTTTGACTAACTCCATGTATTTTGACTAGTCAAACAGTCAAAATTGTTGTTTGAGAAATGACTTTTTCACTTGGGTGCTCAGTTCGAAAAGCCAAAATCTCGAAAGTGAAGGAGAAGGCTTTTAGACTTGGTTGTTGAGATAAACTAGACTCGTACCCGTGCGTTGCACGGCCTAATTTTAAACTATATATTTTAGGAAAACATTGATGATGGAAAATGATAAAACTAAATAATAATAATAACATATAATCAAATAATAAAGAAATTGTAAATACTACGGAGTATACATGTTCATTATAAAAGATTACTTCCATTGAATCTCATCCTCTTGCCTAAATTTTTCTATTTTAAATTATTGTCCAAACGCCGGTGTTATTTAAAATGATTATCCAAACTTCAAGTCCACACAATATCCTAAATGCTCATCTTCGTAAGTTAAACTTATACTCCCTATTTTTTTTAATACCCTGTCCATTTGTTTTGTTTTGTTTTGTGTTGATTTAAATAAGAGTTTTGATTAAATTAAGAACTTTGGAAAATATCAAATTTGTATAAAAATCACTCGTATAAATTTTTCACTTCCTATTGTCATGAAAAAAATCTAAAGACGTTACCCGAGATCCTCGGCCCGTAGTTCAATCTTGTGCCCTCTCGAAAGCTAACCCCTGGCTCCGCCACTAGGTTCGACAATTGTCAATCTCGGCAAGCACATTCTACATACTCTTTGACTACATACGATTCATGGCAATACAGTGCTCATTTATTTATTTTGAGTTGACAAAAAAATTTTGCATCGAGCCACGTAGCAATATTACTACGCGCGCGATTCTATACCAATACACATAACACCAATTTTAAAATTACTATACCTTGGAAAAAACATCATGAGTTGGACTACAAACCTATTTAAGATATATATTCGTTACCCATTTTGTTCTAAAATTACTCTGCAATTTGTTTTCTCTGGATAAATTTCTTAAATTCAAATTAATAATTTTATTTTGAAACATAATATAGGTTTATATAAAAATATATATTTTAATGGTGGAATTATAATATTTGTAACTGTGAAATATCAGCCGGGAAGTTAATTTTAGGGTGAAGAGAGGCTCAAAATCTTTTAATAAATTACTCCATCTGTCACAATTTAAACCATCCGTTTTGGTTTACAATATTTGACTGGAGTTATTTTCAAATCATTTTAAATGAAAAATGTAGAACTAAAAAACAAAAATTGCATATTTTACAACTATATCAAAAGATCTACAAAAATAATGATGACATGCCCATATTATTGGATCAAATTACTCTAGCAAATAACAAAAGAAAGTGAATGAAGTTTGACGTGATAATAGCATGGATACCCTCGTGATTTACAAAAGGAGCGCCAAAACTCCCTCTACTTTCAAAAGTTATGTGTAACACCCTGTGGTTTTTAAATAGTGCACAAACATCCCCTCTTGCCTATTTTGCACATGAAATGACATTTCTGCCCTTGAGTTTTCTCTATCTTCAAATTTCACTCTTTTTTTAAGATTTTTTGTTATACAAATAAATAAAATAAAATATACACCCTCTTTTTCAAATTAAAATTTTTTATTTATTTAATTTTCAAAAAAATGTTTTTTTAAGCGCATTTTAATTGGCAATAGCCCAAATATTTTTTCGGCCCAAATTAATATCCAGCCCAGGCTCATTTATATAAAAGCTCCTTACCTAAACCTAAAAATTCTAAAATCATTTCCGCAGCATTCTCTTTCTTGAGATTGCATCTCCTTCGTTCTTTCTCTCTCTGTCATACTCCGTATATAATTGTTCTTGATTATTAAACATATATTTGGTTGTTTCCCTATAAGCCGATTCTTTTGGTCGATGCATAAATGGATTTATGTGATATTGATATTTTTAGCCAATATTTTTGGGATCGTTTGGTGTTTTCTTTTGATTTAATAGCTTTTTTCATTAAGATTTGTCATAATGAAAAAGATCTTTAGATTCTGGATTTTTTTCATAAGCCGATTTCTTTTCGCGAAGTATATATTCTGGATATATACGTAAATCGGTAGATATATATATATATATATATATAAGTATACATACATATATTTAAATATCTTAATCCGATCGTCACCACCGTAATCACTTGCGCCCTTCTCCGCCGCATATCTCTGATTGAAGACTAACGTCAATGTCCAATGGTTAGTTTTAAGTGTATTATTTAATTTTTTAATCTTCTGTTTTGTTCTCAGCCTTTAAGATAATTTTCTATTTTTTTCATCATATTTTTTTATTAAGTATACATTAATCTTTAGATCCATGGATATTGCCACATATGATGCATGTCTCCCTTAAGAGTAAGATTGCTAGATCTATTCGCATTTCTTGATTATATATATCTATATATATAGTAAATTAATGGATATCATTCATATGTTTATGTATATATATATATATATATATATATTGTATATATTTCATCACTATTTGTATGTTATCTATTTTGTGAGTTATCTAATTCCTATTCAGTATAATCCCTATTTAAAAATCTATGCCTATATGAATGATATCCATTAATTTACTATATATATAATTTTCGAAATTATATTTAAATGTATAGTAAAAAATATTTCAAAATTAATTAGGAAAAGAACTATGATGAACTATTTCACCTATGTTGAAAGAAATAGAAAATTGGTTCAGTGATTTATAGGTTTTTTATGCTTGAGGCACGAGAAAAATGTCAAGTATCTTGGCATGGCGCAACGGAATTTATTTCTGTTGTTGAGCCATGTCGATTTTTTCCTAGATTGCCTCAATATTAAAAACCGGGTATCAAATCTGAGCTATTGTATATTTTTTTTTTGTATATACGTGCTAAGTATTACATAGCATATATATATATATATAGTATATATGTATTAAACTATATATATATATATATATATCATAGTTATAGATATGTATAAATTTTTAATATACTACTGTATAATCATGAATTGTAAACTTGTTTGTGTATGTAAATATAAGGCTGTGATGATATGGAAAGACTGAGAAAATTAGTTTTGCGATTCTTAGGCTTTTAATGTTTGAGGCAATAGAGAAATGGCAATTAACTTGGCGTGGCATAACAGAATTAATATCCGTTGTTGCAGCCATGGTGATTTCGTTTCTTTATCTTCCTCAAATTTATAGCCATTTTAAATTCTGAGCCTCTATTCTATATTATATATTTATGTATGTGTGTGTATTTGTAGACTGTAAAAGAATCTCAAAAGTCCCCTCCCCTCCCATCCCCTTCCCCCACACCGAGAAGCAAATGGTCGACTTTGGAAGGCTTGGGCTACATGAACTCCGATGGGAGTGTGGTAACTGAAATCTAGAGGTAGATATTTAGTAGTGTAAAGGGGAAATTTTGATGCATTGAGTGGAGGAATTCTGATGTATTTATAAGCCGAAGCTCTGTCCTGTATATTAGGGCTTATTTATCATGGCCGATTTTGGGCCTGGCTGAATTTGGGCCTTTTAATTCCCCATTTTCCTTTTTACTCTGTAGCCCTAAATTGCCTTGTACTGTACACTACTTTTTCTTTATAGTAATATGTGAAATTTCATCTAAAGATTTGCAAATCTGTTGTGGTTGCAATATTTAATATGCCACAGCTGGAAAGCAATTTTGTCAGCCTTGGATTGATTGGATTGACGTGCCCCTATAGATATATGTGCCCTTTGTGAAAAGAGTTTAATAAATATGATTGGACATAAAGAGCACTCCTTTTCATGGTGTAGAGACTACCCACTTACCAATACTTGGCCCACTAACCCGACCCGTTACTGTTTTCAATTGGATCCCAAAATTTGGGCGGGAACACTGTTCAAAATCATATCCTAGCATTGTATATAGTAAGATTAATTTTTTATCATTCTTATTTATAAATATTTTTTAATATATGTGAAATAAATAAAAATAAACAATAAACTGAAATGTAAAATAAAAATTTAGAAATTGAACAAGAAAATAAACAATCATAATTATAAAAAAATTCAAAATTTAAAAATAAGATGATAAAATAAATGTAAAAGGGCTAAATATGTGTCTTGTCCTTGTAAATTAAATTTGTTAGATGCCTCGCACACCTCTAGAGGGGTGAATACAAGTGTTATTGAAAAACATAAATTTTCTCCTAGCCAAAAATCACAGGAGCACGCCAACAAAGAAATGCAACAATATGGAAGAAGAGTACAAGACAACGATGTATACTACTTCGGCTTAACGCCTAGGACCTCTAGTCCCTAGAGCAACCGTGCTAGAGATTCCACTAAATTTGTCAAACTTGGTTGCGTTTGACAGCCGGATTACATTCATTCACATCGCTATATATAGTAGTACGTGTGATCGATGTTTGATGCTACATTCATTGTGTTGTTTGTTGTGATGTGTTTATGATCTCAACTTTTGGTTTTAGGTTGCCAATCTTTCTATATACAAAGCTAAGAGACAAAAATGAACAGTAATTTTTCCCGCTTAAAGCTACAGTAAAAAATAGTGATCGATACAAGGGAGAGCGTACTGGAGAAGGTAGCGTACTGGAGAAGCTACAGTAAAAAATAGTGATCGATACAAGGGAGAGCGTACTGGAGAAGCTAGCGTAATGGAGAAGCTAAGCCATTGTTTTGACTAGGGTTTTCTGATATTTTCTTCTTCGCTCCTCCTTATTCTCTCTCTCTGGCTCACTACGTCTGGGTTTAGGGTTTCGATCGTGACGACATCTGCAGTGATTGGATCTTAGGAGGAAGGCGGTTCATCGTCACCATCTCCCCGTTAAGCCAGTACATAGATCCGCGACAATCACTCCAGGAGAAGATTTAGTTAGCTGCTTTGGAAGATTTCAATAATTGAAATTAATTTTTTGAGTAATTCTCCTGTAGAAGAATCTCTGCCACTTCCAAGGTAAGGTCAGTGGGTTCATTGCTTCGGAGGTGTTAAAGTTTCATCAATTTCCGGTTGAATTTTGTACATTAATTTTAATAAATTTCACTTATTAAACCTATTTTAAATCCCATAGGAACTTCTCCTCAATTCAACACAAGAGGGCAGTGAAGAAGATGAAGTCCTAGACCTCAATGAAGAACCTCAGGTGCGCTTCTGTTATTTCTTTGCTTTAATGCCAAATCCTAATGCTTCTGGAAAATTTTTACTGCCTCAATCCAGGAATTAAGGAGGCTCAACCCAATTATTAGTTTGTTTCAAATCCATGAAGTTTCTGAGTGACCAAAGAAATAAAAATGCAGAGCTAAGGAGATGATCAAGTTAATGGAAAATTGGTCAGTAGAAGCCCTCTTTACATTTAGAAAACTAATGGATTAGGATGATTTTTGTGAGCCAAAAATAAGAAAAAAATTGTGGTTTAAAATACCTCAACTTTTTAATGGTTTGACACATTTATGAAATGATCTGTTCATTGTGTATTTGAAATTTTTGATGTTAAATTTGCAACATGGTTAATACATGGTAATGAACTTTAGAAGAACACATATCAACAATTTTAGAGACTTTTATAATACAGGGTAACTCTCTTTCATCTCCTGCTTTTCTCATTTTTCATTTTTTTATATTCTAAGTAGGTATTAGATGCAAACTATAGTTTTGGCTCTCTTATTATTATTATAGATGCAAACTGCATTTTCTCTATTTGGTTGCAAAAGGTAAATTAACATCATGTAAGTTAATTGCTATTAGAAAGACAAGCTACTTTACTCTAATGACTATATTTGTGATTAGTTGAGATTATAATTACTGTTACATTAAAACTTTTCATCATTCGTGATTAAGTTTCTCTATTATTCATATTCATTTGTATTCTCATAGATCATTGTTGCTACCCCCAGGATGGTTGAAAATCAATGGGAACATGTCAAGACGATACACTCATGCACATGGTAAGACATTCACCTATCTTAAATACATGAGTAAAAAGTGAGAAAAAATAAGTAGAAATACTTTGTTTAAATTTATTTATCTCAATTTGTCCTTTTATGTTGTTAAAATATTTAGTTAGTAATATTAAGTTACTGGCAATATTATCTTCAGATGTTAAAAGTTTAGTGATTAAGGGTTCAATAATTCTTCAATTGTGCTCATACTGATATTTTACATAGAATTATTTGTGGTTTCTTCATTGTTTCTTGCGGCATAGAGGTTCGATTATGCTTGAAACACTTTGAATGGGTTGTCAGTTCAATCTGATTCAAACAATGTTATTTGTATTTACAAAAGGATATTAAAGCCATGTGAATGTTCCCTAAAGTTTATTAAAGAACTGACTTATCTTACCATCTAATTCACACTTCAACTGCAAAGCAATGTTTTCATAGCCACTGGTAGCCTGTTGTTCTTTCAGCAAGAAGGATCCAGAGCATAGGGCAGATTGTTGAATCTGTGTTACAGTTTGGAACAAATGTATATAGATTCATTTCCCAACACAAACATTCATCCTAACCATTTTTTCCTCTTCTTTCATTTTCTTTTGTAGGTACATTAAGATTGTCATATTTTATTTATAAGTTTTCAGATTTTAAATGATGAACATAGATCTAGGTATGTGTAAACTGTTGTGTCTATTTTTGAACGTGTAAGGTGTGTGTCGTTCCAAACTCGACCCAATGCCTGCCTAGCCATAGTAACCCCTTTTGCCCATTCTCATAGGGAGAGGAGAGTGGTTTGTTGCCATGAATATTAAACCTGCAAGTTTTGTTTTACCTGGGATTAGTTTTTTGTTTTATTTTACTCTCCAATGTTTTCCTCATTTAGGTTGGTATCTTATATCCATTTCATATCTTGGGCTATTTTGTTCTCCCCAACTGATACAATTACTTTCGTGTTGTAAATTGTAAGATTTCAAGATAAACTAACACATCAAAAATTTCTTGAGCCAGAGGGCAGGAGTATCCCTGAGGTTTATGTGTATGTTTACTACTATTCTTTTTGGTTCTATGTACCTTTTTAATGTATAGGAAAATACGACATTAAAACTTTTTTGAATATGTTTTTTACGATCTATATTATAGGAAGGTGAAAATGACTTCTAACTTCGAGAGTTCCAGTATAATATGGGTTGACACTACACATACATCCATCAAAGCTAAATATCTTGGTGTTTTGCATTGCATATTGTGAAATAATTCATCATATTCTGCTTTATTTAGCACTATATTACATGTATCAATAATGTGAGTGCTGGAAGTGTTTGCTTGCTAAAACATTGATATTTTGTGGGTCAGTTCTTTTTTATGCAAATGGTTTAGGATTTATACCTTCTTTCTTATTTTTTACTTTATATACAACGGCTCTAAATATTTCATGGGTGAAATTTTTATGAACTATTTATTCAAAGCTTGGTAAGTGAGTTAGAGATTCAAGTTAAATTACTAAGATTGGAAATATAGGAGGATTGGTGTTGGTTACTGAGAACTTTGTTTTGGCTTCTAAATAGGAGGTGATTTTTTATCCACCCACACTGCTTTATTGGGCTAGATTTTGAGGGGAACTTTCAACCGCAGCTTGCATCACGCTTGGACTAGAATTGAGGTTAGATTCTAACATATATATATATATGTGTGTGTGTGTGTGTGTGTGTATGTATGTATATATATATATATGTATGTATGTATGTATGTATGTAGGCTAATAGCTTTTGAACAATTCTGTTCAGCCTTTCGTTGTTTAGATGATTGTTTTTATGCTGACATTTCCTATTGCAATTGTGGTTGGTTATTGAATACAAGATGATATTTGTTGAATTTAAATCATAAGTTGCAAATTCTATATATTTGGGCTAAATAGCTTCTAAAGCGATTTGTTCAAGTTTTGATTGGTTTGGTGATTATTTTTAGAGAATCTGGACGTAGTACTCCAATACCTGGGCCTCCGACTAAGGATCCGGGAGCCGTGTTGAGATATGCATTACCTATTGACAACAAAGCTATAAGAGAAGTTCAAAGGCCCATTGAAGAAATCACTGAGTCTCAAGCTGCCCGGTCTCAAGTCCCTTGGTTCTGCTGAGAGAGTAAGAAACCATCTCATTATACATCTAATAATTGGAATTGTAATTTTCATACTTTTTATGTTATGAGCTTTGTAGAATGCTATGCAGTCATCCCAGGTTCTCAAACAAGGGAAGACTTCGAATATTTCAGCATTGGCGATGTCAAATGTTGAACATGGAACTGAAATGCTTAGCAAACTTGAAGTTGGTTTGGACGAGCTTCAAAAAATCATCGTTGAGGATAAGAACTGGGATGCTTTTGCTTCCAAACAGAAGGAATTGCTTAACCATGTTGGAAAGTAAGTGCCTATAGAAAAGAGGTTAATTCATCATCTCATGTTTATTGGAGCAACCGACATTATTAGAAACTCCCATGTAGTCTTATTTTATGACCTTGAGGCTCTAATGAACCTTAGGGTTCAAGTTGGATTGAGGGTTTCGGAAGGTCTTGGAGGGGGGACTCGGGAAGGTTTGAAGGGGTTAGAGAATGTCTTGATGTAAATACTAAGGAAAGTTGTTTTAATGGTTAAGCTATGTGTGGAACTTAAATAATGGTTAAGAAATATAAATACAGAGGAAAATGGTTTTTAATGCTTGGTTTTACCTTAGTCCTTGGAAAATATGAAGTAACAAGGAAAATTAAATCTGTTCACAGCTTTTAAAAAATTCACATATATTTAGATTATTTAGACTTCATATAATATATATGATATACTCATAAGTTGAGTTTCAAGTAACATCTAATAGAAATTTCTCAATTTAAACTTTAAGAATGTCTATNTTTGTTTCAGTTGCTGCTGATTTTTTTGTTGCTGCTGAATTTTTTGGCTTAGTGGTTAGAGTTGCTGCTGATTTTTCTGGCTTAATGGTTAGAGTTGCTGCTGATTTTTTTGTTGCTGATTTTTTGTTCTGTTTGTGAGTTGATTTGCTGCTGATTTTTTTTGTTCCGTTCTGATTTTTTTGTTGCTGATTTGTTTGTTCTGTTTGTGAGTTGATTTTTGGGTTGTTTTTTGGGGTCGCCCACCTCCTGCGATGTACCTTTGATCTTCATCAATAAAGTTTTGTTTTGTTTTAAAATATTCCTCCGTTTGGAAAAACACTTCCCATTTGGATTTGGAGCAAAAATAAGGAAGTGTTAAATTATAGTTGATTTCCAATTTTGCCCCTGATGTGATGGGTAAAAGTAAGATGTAATAGATAGATTATTAGAGAAAAAGTGTGATGTGATAGGTAGGGTATGAAAAAGTAAGGGTAAAATTGGTTTTTTAATAGAAAAGGGAAGTGTTTTGTTGGAAGTGCAAAAAATGAAAGAAGAAGTGTTTTTGAAAACGGAGGGTGTATTATTTTACTATATAGAATACTAGGATAGATTTGTGAATATTGTTCCCGCCTAAATGTGTGGGGCCAATTCGGTTTTGGGCGCAACAAAATGGGCTTGAATAATGGGTAGTGATATCTGTTATGGATCCGCGTGCAATGTAATAATATTTTATACATATTCAAGAAAATAAAAGTTGGCATGTTGCTCAAGGAATACTTTATGTCAAACTAAATATAATATATAGATTCACAAAATTCAATGATTTAAGTTGGGGCGTGGTTTCATGTAAGCTTTATGTCGAATCAAATTAAATAAATAGATTTGCCAAATCAAAGCATTTAATAGATAGGTTCATTATCCAATTATATACTTTCTCCGTCCCTAAATATTTGCCACACTTATATTCCTGAGGTAAATATCAATTTTTTTCAATTCATTTTATTTACATATTGGTATAGAAATAAAAAATAAAATTTACATATCAAAAAACTAAATGAAAAGTTTTTCGAAATAAGAGGTGTCATGAATATTTTATTTTATCAAATAACCAATGAAAACGTAGAAATAAACAAAAGTTTCCGCAACACCGAAAAAACAAATGTTGCAGACATTTCGGGACGGACGGAGTATACCACTTTATTTCCCCAAAACATTTCATAACAATTTCATCCCAAAAATTTCCCTCTTTTTTGAAATATGTCGCAAAGACATCCAAAGAGTATGTGAAATGTTGTTGCAGAGATTGACAGTATAATAGTCGCACCACTTAGATGCTTATGTTACGAGTCATTCATATTATTGCATATTTCCCTTTAATATTTGATTATGTATTATTATATTAATTTAATTTTATCATTTTTATTCATCAATATTTTTCCTATTATTATTTAGTTTATAATTAGGCCGTGCAACGCACGGGTACGAGTCTAGTTACCTCAACATATAGAGCTTAATTGCTGAATCTCACCTGTCATACTTTTTGTGATTTGACCTTGGTACAAAATTAATAGTTTGGTATGCAAGGCTGTAACTGAGTTCTTTAAAAGGAATAAGACAGAAAAGTCTGGCACTTATCCCTAAGAAAGAAAAGTCTGTCATCCCTCAAGACTACAGACCTATAGCCTGTTGCAACACTATCTATAAGGTAATTACTAAACTCATAGCCTAGACTTAAAGGGTGTTCTTCCTTATACTGTGAATGGAAATTACCAAGGGGCCTTCATTGGTGGTAGAGAATTACTCCATAATGTTCTTTTGTGCCAAGAACTTGCTAAGGGTTACAATAGGAAAACTATTTCTCCTAGATGCATGATGAAATTGGATATTATGAAAGCTTATGACACAATTGAATGGGAGACTATCTGTTAGGCGTGTCATAGCACCTAAAAAATTACTCCATAATTAATTATTTTCTTGTACTCAATTCCTTCTTGTAAAAATAATATTTATTAAATCTATAGATAGGCTAAGTAAGGTTCGATCCCACGAGGAAAGATACTTTTCCGGTTATGAAAATCAGTTTACTTGGTCACTTTTTATTGGGTAAAAACAACTATCTAAAATCTATAAACTAAACTAAAAGATAGGGGGGTTTGAAGAAAATGTTTTCTAAATAAAGCAAAAAAACTAACTAAAGTGACACACCACACCAGAACGAATCTCAGAACAACCCAAGGATAAAAACCGAACATAACTCCACCTAGAAGCCCAAACAAAGAAGACAAGCACACATAACACAATAATTTAGAGACTTCAACAATTTTCGAAAACCAACAAAGTGTTTTATAATATAGAAAATAAATACCCAGGATCAAAACTTTGATAAAAACTAGCATAATCATCAACCAACTTTAAATTAAAACGAGGGTTAGGCTGAAGAAGAGATCCACCAACGGCTCTTCCCTATTTTCCCATTCATAAAAGCTCATGTTAGGACCAACCCTAACTCTAAACCCTACTACCCTTAGCAACCCAAAGACCAACCTTTAGATTACTACTAAGAATAGTGCATTAAGATTTGTGGAAAACATCACCGTAACAATTTTGCAGTAACATGAATGTTATTTAACAAAATCAGTTTGAGAACCTTGATTAGCAAAAATCACTTAACAAGGCAATCTAGTTCTAATCAAGTGACACTTGGTTTCTAGAAAAGTTCGGCTATTTAAAGCACTTTGGACTTTAAAAGAATATCAATTTAAATTGGATTAAGTCGCGATCCTAATTTGACCCAACTTAAGTAAAATCTTTTGGAAAATAATTCTCAAACACCTTTGAAATAATTTAAAAGTAGCAAAAGCTTGAATTATTTTAAGAGTATTAAACTTGAAGTAAATATTTAAACCCATAGACAGATTCAATTTTAAACAACAAAATTCAATACTACCTCTGAAAATTCTGGTTTCTTGTGCAAATTTTATACCAAAAATACTTGCTGGATGTATACAAACACAAACATCTACTCTCTTTAGTTTAAAGAATTTGGTGCAAAATGATAACCCAATAATGGGTTTTTTACTAGCTTTTACTCCCTATTGGAATTCTGTCAGCAAGTTCAAATGACAACCTAAACTATGGGGTCAAGATGATTGCACATCAAACAACAATATCCAGACCCCTCTTGAAATAGCAAACCTTGGACACACTAAAGACATGCTTCAAAAATATTCCACCAAAACCAATTGCAGAACCAACCACAGTATGTGTTAGAAGTGGAATCATGAAAAGACATGGTAATTATCCACTTTGTGCTATGACAGTAATAATAAGGTTTTAGCTTTGTTAAATTTGAACAAGCCACGCATGGAGTTCACAAAAACAATTATTTAGTTGTACTCACCCAAGAAAAATACTAAGGGTCCGTTTGGTATACGGAATTGATGGAATTGGAATTGAATTGAATTAAAATCCAATGGGATTCAATTCCATAGAATTGAATTCACCAATCCCAATTCATTTTTTGCACTACCAATTCCAAATCCATATAATTTTTGTGCTACCAAACACGAGATTTGAAATTGAAGTCCTCAATTCCAATTTCATAGTTTGAATTCCGTGTACCAAGCTTGGGCTAAGAGAATTAAACCGATTCCAGAACTAAGAAAGCAAACGAACACTATTTCAGTAACAATTTAAAAGGAAAAAAAACATGGAAAAGAAGAATTTAGCAAAAGGGGGTTTCGGATACAAGATCCGAACCCCCTAGGGTTCATACCCTTTTGGAATTTCAGCTCTGATTTTTACTCTGATCGGTGGTGGTGTTCTTCGCAGCATCTCCCTCAATTTATAGGCGCTGGCTTTGTCTCTTCCGTCTCGGATTGGGGTTCTTGACGCTGATTTCTTGCTGCGGATTCTCCTGCTCCAACTATGCTTGTAGAAGCCGACCCAACGTAGGAGAGGGACTCTTCGGCTATTCTATCTCACACGTCTCTCTCTCCTTTTTTTAGGCAGCTTCTCTCAAACTTCTTGTGTGTATGGGAGGATTGGGCCTGGACTGTTTCTTTATCACCATATGTTGGGGTGGGGTAGAGCCCAACGGGATCACTTTTACGTTTTCAGCCCGCATTTTATGCTCCAAAGATATATCTAATAACCTTTGTCAAGGAGAATATGGGTCCACAACAATAATATTCAAAAATAAACTAAAAAGTGTGCATTATGAACATATTTTATAAACGATGCCTAGAATGCAAATATGATCATTTGAGTGTAAAAATGCACTTTTTAATGCCCGAAAATACTGATTTAATAGAGAATAACTAGTGAATATTTTGGACTCAACACTATCTGCTGGAATATTTTGGATGCCCTGAATTTTCCTGCTAAATTCATTGAATAATTTTGCCATCAGAGTTATATGGGGAAGAACATGGATTCATTCAGGGGAGGAGAGGCATTTTGATAGACCCTATCTCTCCATTGTTTTTTGTTCTGTTGATATGATGGAGTATTTTACAAGGTTGTTCCAACAGGAAGCTGACCAGGGGTATTAGAAACCTCCTGTGTGCTGATGATCTCATTATTGTATGCAAAGCTGAGGAGGAGACCATTCAAACTGTCTTTGAGGGTTTTAGAAAAGTTCAAGCAAACTACTGGCCTAGAAATTAGCCTTCACAAGTCACAGGTAGTGTTTGGGAGCATTGGTCCTGAACAAAAGGACAAGCTCCTAGGCATATCACTGACATGGAATTTGGTAAACTACCTATGACTTATCATGGGTTCAAATCCTCTTCATTGTCTCCACACAAAGTACACATGGTATCATCAATTTATTTAACCAATGATGAAAAGTTTGGAAGGTGCATATTTACAACATCAAAATTTCACAAACTAAAAATACATTCAAACATTCTTGAGCATATTTACAACTACTACTCTATCTATATATATCCATCTAACATATTCAAAACCAAAATGAAAGTGGGTTTGAATGTTTGATCATGAACAAAGTCATTTGGAGGCTTTGCCGTCGTCGTCGTCCTCGGCAATGCCCAGAAACTGCCGCCGTTTGATCTTCAGGAAGGCGGTGGCTTTGGCGTCGATGAGGGGGTCGGCCACCCAGTTGGGGCGGTCTTCGTCGCTCGGCCGTACTTTGTAGTACACCTTAGCCACCGGCTCCGCCGCCACCCTCTCCTCCTCCTCTTCTTCCCTCCTTAGTCTCTTTGCCTTCTCGTCCTTCGTCTTCACTTTGAAGAGCCCAAGGAAAGATTTCTTCTTTCCCATATTCTTGGAAATAAATAAAGATTCTTTTTTTTTCTTCTTGTTATTGATGATGGTGATTAATTTGGAGTTGGTTTTTTGGCAGTACTTATAGTGGCTTGGGAGGGGAGATTAATTAGCGCGGATAATGACGGTGGGGATTAGATGAGGGGAAATTACGTAGAAGATTTCTTTAACACTATGTTTGGTTTAAGGATTTTGGAAGGGAAAGAAAAGAAAATGATTTTCTCTCATTTTCCTCACCAAAATGGGAGGAATTTGGTTTTCTCTCCACTTAATACATTTATCTTCTCATTCTCTTTTCCTTCCACTTTTCCTCTCCAACCAAACATGAAAAACTTTTTTCCAATTTATTTTTTTTTCTTTTCTTTTTCAAATTACTTGAACCAAACATAGTGTAAAAGTTTAATGATATTGGAGTAGTAATAAATTAGAGAAAGTAATCATATATCAAACCGACAACGGAACGAGGGAATAAGGAATAAGGTGGACCGGTGCCTCCAAATCTTGACCATCATTCCACCCCTTAAATCTTAATGGGATTGTTGTAATTCATGTAATCTAACAAATTGTGACCATCATTTATGTAATTCATGTAGTTCATGTAACGCTCCGCTACTATTCACTATAAATCAGTAGTCACTCAGCGTCATAATAGCGTTGATTCAAATGATGATTCCGTTTAATAGGAGCTCCGAAAGGCAATAATCTAAGTAGACATGTCTTAGAAATAATAGCGAATGTGCAAAATTTCTTTGGCACGAGAAAACGTCGAATGTATTAGGAGCTACCTCAATGCCCAAAACATATTTTAAATTTTCAAGATCCTTCATATGAAAGTATTTAGTCAAATAAGAGTTGTGTTATTGTAGTCCTAAGGTTCACATGTAAAATGTAGTTAAACCTTTTTCACATATTTTTATGGGTTCATAGCTGGATCTCCTTAAATTTACAAGGTTCATTGAAGAAAATCATGTTATGCTTGAAAGTGTTAAGGTCTATAAAGAGCTTGTTTGGGAACAACTTTAGAAATTAGCGTCAACGTTTTGAATAAAAATTTAACAGTACTGATTACTTTGAAAACGTCAACGTTTAACGATGTCCGTAGATAACCTTTTCAAAATGCTAACGTTAATCTAACGATATTCCCAAACATGCCCAAAATGAGTATGAATCTAAAAATCACAAGAAGATGTGTCGACGAATAAAGCTTAAATTTAGATTTAACCCCAAATTATTTCCTAAACTAATTAAATCTATATATATGAAATTACATGGATCACCCCATGTCAGGCATTTCCAAGAGCAAAGACCCTTCAATTCCTTGCCTGGAGGGTTGACCAAAAGAAAGAAAAAACAAGCCAATAAGGCATGAATAATGGTCACAATTACAACAAGCCCATTAAAGAATGAAATCTTTTATATATAAATTTGAGACTCCAATGTTTAAGAATTTGACATGTAACATATTAAAAAATTGTTATGTAACATACTAAGAGCTTGACATATGGCATATTAGGTGATAATTTAACCAAATTACTCTCTGCAAGTATTTTACCTTTTTTACTCTTTTCCGAAAATGATAGTTCCTTATTTTGAACGAATGAATCCAAACTTAGAATTAAAAAATTAATACCCGATAATTTATCATTTTAATAAAATATTATTTTTCATAATTTCACGTAAAAATATATTTAATACATGTCTTTGATTTGATAAATCATAAAATTTACAAAAACAAACAATTATTTATAATAAATAAATTACACTCCTCACCTATAAATAAATTTCATAGTTGTTCATTATACGTTTACATATATTAGTTTGATTATGTTTATTTAAATATTTACACTTATTAAATAAAATAATTTCTTCACCTATAAAAAAATGTTATATGTGTTTTGAAACCTAATATGTCACCTAATTTAAGATACAAAAATGTGAATTCAATGTTTTGGTATGAAATCTTTGAATAGATTTAATTATGGAAGAGAAATATTCATTTTAATGATAATATTCTTTCCAATTCAATACTATATTTTTCTCTCTTCATTTATAATAAAACTTTCAATTATCTCTAAAAAAGACTTTCAATTCATAAATAAGATGTATTTTAATCTCTAAATAAATGTCATACGAATATTTATTTGTAATATGTATAATTAAGTTTGTTTTTATTCTATTTATTACAATATTTATATAAAATTAAAAACAAACAGTATATTTTAAAAATCACATTACAATATTTATAAGACAAGAGATGACCGGACTATAATTATGTTGAAATAAAACAAATTTATTTTATGATTTGATTTTATTACTAAATAGTTGATGATTTATATACCTTAAGTGATTTATGATTTAAATTAAAAATATGTTATCTTTTATTATCTATTATGGTATTATATTCTTAATTAAATTGTTGAATAAATTGTTCAAAAAAATTGCCCACCATCACATACTCTATTTACACGAACATTTTTTATGATTTCAATATTATTGAGTAGTTTGTTTATGGAATAAATATCATCACTTTTATTAGAATATACAAGTCTTTTTCTTATTTTGTATTTTTATATTTTATTTATAAAAAAACTATCACTGAATAAATAAGTTTTCCTTCCCTTAAAAAATACTTTCTTAACCTCTAAAAACTTATATTGGTTTATGACATGCTTAAATGATGTTAGTTTGTCATTTATTTATTTTCAATATTAATGTAAAATAAAATATAAAAATATTTTTTAATATCTATATTAAGATACTACTCCCTCCGTTCCGTTTTAAATCGCTTGTTTTGACTTTTGAGCATATTTAAGGAAAAGAAAAAATAGAGTTGATTTTTTGAAATTGTCAGTACTTTTTAGGAGGTATGACGATGAATGAGAAGATAAAGTGGAGAAGAGTGACTTATTTTAGAGGTAGTTTAGTTATTTTAATCTTAAAAGTTTACGAAAACAACTAACATGCAACTTATTTTGGGACGGAGAAAAAAGGCAAACAATTAATTTAAAATGGGATGGAGGTAGTATAAAACAAGAAACGACTAGGCAATTTTTTTAAATGATCAAATATTTAATTCAAATAAATTAAGAAAAGAATGTTTCCGCGGGCTTGAAATGATTTGTATTTAAATATAAAAAATTGAAAAAAAAATAAATGTTTTTGTAAATTTATATTCTGAATCATTGAATCACTAATCTTTTTTTATTTTTTTGATTTTTTTGATTTAATGTGGGGAGTGGAATCATTGGTTTTTAATTTTTTTCAATTATTTAATTTTTTGAATCATAGTATTATTAATCCAAGATTTTACTTTTTAATAGTGTTGGGAGAAAAGAATCATATTTTTTAATCAATGCGAGGGACAAGAGTAATATCAAAGGTGATTGTATAATATTTGAGCTTATGAATGTAGTGTTCGTGAATCTTAAACCATAAAGTAATTTTAATTTGAAGAAAGTTGTACCTAACCATCTGAATTGTTTAATAGCATAAAGTTTTTTTGTAATTGTGTAATAGTATAAAGTAAAATATTAAAGAGTTGTGAAAAATTATCTTCGGCACAAATGTAATATTAGGAAACAAAGTCATAGACAACATTTACATAGCCTAAATTAAATAAATTATGCATCATTTCATACAGGATTACCCTAGAAGTTGCAAAGAATATAATTTTTAATAGATTATGTTTCGTGAATGAGAGTAAAAGTAAGGTTGAAAGTATTAGTTTTAAATGCCTTTGGTAATCTTTATAACATCACAAAAAATGTTGTATGTCTCAAAAAATTTCTAAATGTTTAAATTTAAAAAAAGACTTTGACATTTAAATGTATAATGTAGAAATTTCAGTAGCAAATGTTATATAAATGTCTTATCATTATATTAGCTTTTAAGATTGATGTTTTATTTTGTTTGATATTTAAAAAATAACATAGGAAGAATAATTATAAAATCAAAAAAAATTGTTTCACCCCATGAATGGATGCACAGGTTAAAATACTACTCCGTAGTATATATATATATATATATATATATATATATATATATATATATATATATATATATATATATATATATATATATATATATATAACTAAGTGGTTTAATTATACTAACGACATGTGTCATGCCACATATGCTTCATGTGACACTTGTCATGTCATGCATGTTCCTTGTTGGCACATGTCATGCAATGTGTTATGTCATGGTGCGTATTAAATTTTATAATAAAAAACAATTGTTTTATTATAGTTTATAATTTTTTCACCTTCTAACATTTTGCTTTCTCAGTAAAATAGTTGATACTCCGTATTATTTTTACATTTTCACTATTGTAACATACTTCATTACTTCGTACGTTCAAATGTAAAAAAAATCATTTTATAATTTTTATCATATAAAGATTATGTTTTAAAAAATAAAACTATTGATAAATTTTTAAACTATTCACCATTTACTTTATCCTATAAATTCTAATACATCTAGACCTTAATTTAAAATATATATTTCATATTAATTTTTTGTACGTTTGCATTAATTTTTCCATGCATAATCTTTAACAAGAATAAAATATTTGTGTTTATTTAAATAAAGTGTCATGTGTTTCAAAGATAGTATAATGTCACACGTGTTCTGTACAACGTTTGTCACGCAACACATGGTTATGTTAAATAATTCCATCAATGCAAAAAAAAAATAAAAAAATAAATAATGCATCTGCATTCAAAAAATAAAATTCTATTTAAAAAGTTTATAGAGTACATATTATAATTTAATTAAATAATAAAATAAATAAAACTTCATTAATAGAATGTCAAGATTTTAGAATGCATACTAGTTATGGTCAAATTTTGGAGGCATCTGTCCACCTTATTCCTTATTCCCTCGTTCGGCATTTGATTACTTTCTCTAACCAATATTTTCTTCATCTCAAAATATTTACCACATTTAAAATATCAAGGTAAAACATTAAGTTTTTTAATTATTTTATATAAATATTGCTATAAAACTAAAAATATATAATTTACATATTTAAAAACTACATGAAACGTTTTTCGAAATAAATGGTGTAAAAAATATTTTATTTTATCAAATAATCAATAAAAATGTATAAATAAATAAATGTCCCGTGACTCTGGAAAAAGTAAATGTGACCAAGATTTTGGGACGAAGGAAATACTAGTTTACTACTCCAATATCCAGTGCACTGTTAAAGAAATCTTCTACGTAATTTCCCCTCATCCAATCCCCACCGTCATTATCCGCGTTAATCTCCCCTCCCAAGCCACTATAAGTACTGCCCAAAAACCAGCTCCAAATTAATCACCATCATCAATAACAAGAAGAAAAAAAAAGAATCTTTATTTATTTCCAAGAATATGGGAAAGAAGAAATCTTTCCTTGGGCTCTTCAAAGTGAAGACGAAGGACGAGAAGGCAAAGAGACTAAAGAGGGAAGAAGAAGAAGAAGAGGAGGAGAGGGTGGCGGCGGAGCCGGTGGCTAAGGTGTACTACAAAGTACGGCGGAGCGACGAAGACCGCCCCAACTGGGTGGCCGACCCCCTCATCGACGCCAAAGTCACTGCCTTCCTGAAGATCAAACGGCGGCAGTTTCTGGGCATTGTCGATGAAGACGACGACGGCAAAGCCTCCAAATGATTTTGTTCATGATCACCCATTTTGAATATGTAAGATAGATATATATAGATAGTGTATGTATAATAGTAGTTGGAATTTAGCATGTAAATCTAGTCTTGAATAGGGAATATATATATGCTCAAGAGTCAAGAATGTGTTTTTATATAGCTTATTGTGAAATTTTGATGTTGTAAATATGCACCTTCCAAACTTCTTGTCCTTTATTTTTTGAGAAAATCCCAAGCAACAAATTCTTCTCTGGGTAATCTGTTGTAAATATGCACCTTCTAGTTTCTTTCAACACCGACTTAAAACTGTAAGTATATATGATGATAACTATACAATAACATTATATATCTAAATTTATAACAAAGCACCTCAAACACGGGCAAAGGCGAATTCTTTTATATATCCATATTAGTTTTCTTACATATTTATTTGAAAGATCATTTAGTTGAGTGATTTTTTTAACTTTATTTTCCCAACGTTTTCCAACCTCTTCTATTTGCAAGCTCCTTCCATTTCTTCCAATTCCTTCCGATATTCTAACTTCTTTTAATTTCTTCCAATATCCAACTTTAGAATTCCAATCGAAAAGAACAGAGGCTTAAACAAGTTCATAAAAAGTTCACAATGTGCCTATTTTCGACTCAATACTTTTTATTTATCAATTAAAACTAATGTTTGTGATACAATTTGATAGAAATTGGTCTTATTGAATAATGAAAGATACATCTTTATAGATAAGGATTACAAGAGAGAGTTTCAATCCAAATAGGAAAAGGAATACAGTAACAACACAATAAGGAAATAAAGGAATAATGAAAGGAACTAATTAATAATGTTCTATTTCCTAATATCCCCCTGCAAGATGATCAGCGGAGACGAGGGACAGACCAGCATGCTGTGGCCGAATGTCCGTGCAGTGCTTATCACAAATCTGACACATAGGAACAATTTGTGACGATCTACCATTTCCAGAGGACGGTCGACCATTATTCCTACCACTACGAGAACTAGTGTAGTCGTGTCCAGATCAGAGGACGGTCGACCGCGGTAGCCCTCTCGACTGCGACCTCAACCGTCTGTAGGAAGAAGAGCATTATGTGCCCCCCCCCCCCCTCGAGAGGAAGAATTGACTAGATTCGGTTTTTACTCCATCTCAATGTAAATCTCCTCTGAAGTAAGCCATCTAGAAAGCTGANTTTTGCAGACAAATATTTTGTCTGGATGAAAAATATTTGTTAAGGAGACCACGAATAACAGTATTGACAACATCTCATTTTGGAATACGTCCACGTAAAGCATCAAGATCAGCAATGATTGTGGCAACTTCATCAGGGTATTGAGACATGGATTTGGTTCCTTTGCGTAGGATATGTAGTTCATCATGAAGTTGGTAAATATGGGCAGTGGAAACAGAGTTATACCTTGTTGCTAATGGTTCCCCGAGGCAAAGAAGTGGTGAAGCCATGAGCATGTTTATGGACGGCATGACTAATGATGGCGAGAAGACATGCCCGGATCTAAGTATCAATGACTGACAATTGACTGTCCAAGAAGGAAAATCACAATTTAAAGTAACAACTCCATCTTTGAGGATAATTTTAGATGGATTTTTCACGGATCCATCAATCCACCAAGAAGAAGATTTGCTTCAAATTAAATGTGATTTGAACATTTAGCGATCACGCGGGATAGTTTGTATGCGGAAGTTTTTCAGGGATGAGGTTGTGAAGATTTCGGAGTAATATTTTTACTCCGGATGGAAATGAAGAAAAGGGGTCTGTTGCCGCCATGGGTACGGCAGTCAACCGACAGTAGTTAGTGGACCGATGGTAATGCCAAGAAAAGTTAGGGATTGGAGACCTTAACTCCGATACCATGATATAATTTGGTCTTATTGAATAATGAAGGATACACCCCTATATATAGGGATAAAAGATAGAGTTCTAATCTAAGTAGAAAAAGAAATACAGTAACAACACAATAAGGAAATAAATGAACAAGGAAAGGAATTAATTAATAATATTCTATTTCTAATAGTTTGATAAAATATTTCTTATGACAGGGAATTGTGTCTCAAACATTAAGGAAAAAAGACTAAAGTAGGCGTAAAACATATAAACTATATCAATATAAGAGTTCCATATTTTTATTTTCAAAATAGAAGTTATAATGCATATATAATGCCAATGTATAATGCCGAAAAATATTGTAAAATATTTATATATAATGCCTAAAAATATTGTGAAATATCTATATACAATGTCATATTATTATACTGCAAACTTCTATTTTATAAATAAATATATAGAATTCTTATTTTGGCACATTTTCTATGTTTGACTTTTATTTACTATATTTCTTAAACGTGAACCAAAAAAAGAGATTTTTTTTTCAAAGAAAAGACATTGGTTAAAGAAAAAAGTCAAAAAAAAGCAAGCTCATTAAGGAATGGATTATGTCAAGATTTGGAAGCATCAGTCCACCTCATTACTTATTCCCTCGTTTAGTAGTCGGTTTGATAGAATAAATTATCACAGTAATTCATTATTATCCGTTACACTGTACGTTAAAGAACTCTTCTTCTTCTTCGTAATTTCTCTTAATTTAAGCGCGTTAATCTCCCCTCCCAAGCCAGCAACTATATAAATACCACACAAAAACTAATCAACTCTAAATCAATATAATCACCAGCATCATATCATTTCCCTTTCCCAATCCAAAATAATTCAGAACATTTATATTTCCAAGAATATGGGAAAGAAATCAGAGTTTTCTTTCCTTGGGATCTTCAAAGTGAAGAAGGAAGAAAAGGCAAAGAGGCTAAAGAAGAAAAAAGAAGAAGAAGAAGAAGAAGAAGAGAGGGAGGCGGCGCCGGTGGCTAAGGTGTACTACAAAATACGGCGGAGCGACGAAGACCGCCCTAACTGGGTGGCCGACCCACTAATCGACGCCAAAGCCACCGCCTTCCTCAAGATCAAACGACGGCAGTTTATGGGCATTGCCGAGGACGACAACGATGATGTCGTCTCCAAATGACATTGTCTGCTTTTAAGTGTGGGTTAAGTCTGCGTACACACACCAGCCACACACCAGCCACGTACTCCTCCGAAAGATCTGGTTTTTGTGGGATTTTATCGGGTTGTTGTCGAGGATGTTTCCAAATTTCAAGTGGCATTAGGAAGAATGCACCATATATGCAATGAAGTATATGCTTAGATAGGATTTGTTTAGTTAATTAGAGTTAAGATTGTTGAATGATGTGTATACATATAATATATGTGCGGGTGTTCATATGTTCATGATGGACCATGTTTCATTTTCATTTTTGAATGTACCTTAGATTGATGGTGTAGTAGTTGGAGTTTAGCATGTAAATTCAATCTTGTAACTTTGTCTCCTTTTTTTAAGTTTCAATCTTTTTTTAGCATCCCACAAAACATTTCAATCTCATGTAAGGATGTGTTTGGTTTGGAAAAAAATACTTTTTTGAAAAATTTTAATTCTATTTTCCTGCATCTGATGACACTAGTGAAAGGAATATTTTCTCTTAATAGTGGGAAAAGAATTCGAATGAAAATTTTCACTTTTTTAATTTTTGAATTTAAAATTTAAACTTTTAATTTTAAATTATATTTTCAATTTTAATTTGTCATTTTCCAAGCACACCTAGGGATGGCTTGGGAAAACCAAAGCCCGCAAATCGAACCAAAATCGATCGAAACGAGCTAGAGAAAAAAACCAAACTGACAAAATTAAAACCGATTGTAAAGAAACCAAATCGTTATTGTTTTGTTTCCGTTTTGGTTTTCACTTTGAAAAACCGAATCGAACCAAATAAAACAAATTTTCTTAGGTACTTCGCTTTATATGTGATATAAAAAAAATCATAGAAATATAAATGCAAATAAAGGACTAGTCGATTGAAGTTATTTTCTTAGCTATTGATTAAACATTTTAAACCATAGTATAAACTTTAAAAAACCTAAGAATATATAGAAAAATCAATAACTAATCCTAATACAAAATTATACAGTATTAACATTAAAAATTAGTACGAGTAATTTACATATAAACAAATTGATGTTGTAATGGAAATGAAAGTATTATACCAAAAAAATACAAATTCTCTGTACGCAAATTCTCCGTAATTGATATTTACATATGATGTCTTTGAAAGTATTTGGAATCTTTTAGATATTTGTTGAGTACTCGACAGATATTTTTTATGTAAAATTGAACCAAAAGGAACACTAACCTTCCGTTCGGTTTTTGGTTTTGTGTAAAAATCAAACCAAAAAACCATACTCAACTCTACATATTGTTATCGCTTCATTGAGTTAGTACTTTTACAATTTTTTAATGCTTATAAAATTTTATTTTTATAAAAAAAACCGAAATAAAAATTGCATAATACCGAAGCGAATAACCAACTATTTACATTTTTTATGCAAAACCAAACCGAAGTGAACCACCAATTTACCTTCCAATTTGTCTTTGGTTTTTGGGTGAGAACCGAACCCACCACATCCAAAGTCTATAAGACCTGTTTCATTGTTGTGACCCGAAAAGGGTTCGTGTAATTTCATTTTGACACGTAGATTTCAAATTATGGAAAGTCTATAAGACCTGTTTCTATAAGACCTGTTTCATTGTTGTGACCCGAAAAGGATTCGTGTAATTCTGTTCCTGTATTATAGAATATAAAATGTGAAATTGGTAAGTTTAGAATGTTAATTTTTAAATATTAATAAAGGAAATTATTTTTTTAAAAAATATTTTCCTTCTTACCAAACAACGGGAAATATGATTGAAAAATAGTTTTACTTGAAATTCATTTTCCTTTAAAAAATGTTGTTCAAAGAAAATATTTTTTTCCCAACCAAACACACCCAAAAATGTCTAAAATACTCACAAAACAATTTCTATCCTAAATAAAAGAGAAATGAGATTATTTTAAAAATTCTAAATGGGGTATAAGTATTTCGAGAGATACACAAAAAAAATAAAAAAAAATGAATTATTTTAAAAAATGGGGAAGTATATTTCTTTTTTGTGAAAGTTTTAGTGTTCAGATGCATAATGGCTCTCATTGAAAGCTATCTGAATAAGTTAAAGTAGTGTTTGGTAACTAGCATTTCATTTCAATTCATGTATTTCAATTCCAAAATTTGAAATCTTGAATTTCAATTGACAAGGGGAGGTACATGAATTTCAAATTAAATTTTGTTATGAATGAAAAGAATTTAACTCAAATCCAAATTTAAAATTTTTAAGTTTCCTAAACATGGAATTTGATCCAAATCCGGGTTTGAAATCCAAATCCATGTTTTCAAACATACCATAAGAAAGACTTCAATCGTCTTCAAGTCCTGAGAAGAAGAAGAGGGGAGATTGAAGAAAGCAAGAGGGAAGCTATGCGGCTAGACCAGTTCAAAATATGCTCTTCATCTCAAAAAAATAGTCTTATTTAAAGCATGAACAATAACAAGTCATATTTAAAGCATGAACAATCAAAGTTAATCTAGTCATACAGTGGCATGGCATTGGAGGGGTATGCCCTCGAGTGCCAAGTAAACATAGAGTATATCAAATTCCGTATCATATTCAAAGGAGGGAAAAATAGCACATGCAGTAAGACGAAGTATATCAATTTCCATATCAAATTGAGGAGTGAAGAAGAAAAAAGATGGAGGCCCAACATCAAACAATGAAGATTACTGGCGATGAGATCAAGGTACAGAGATGGGTGATTTTCAGAGCGATTAAACAAGAGATGGAGTGGCAGAGGGTACCTGAGCGTCGAAGATGGTGGCTGGCGATGGTAGTGAAAGAGCACCGATGATTGACGACGATGGTGCAACAGATGATTTCCCAGGGTAGAGAGAAGAGAAGTGACCAGAGGAGTGACCGATGATTTTCCTAGATCCCCTTTCCACTGTTTCTATCTTGCCTCGCACTCGCCACGATATTCGGAGTGGCTCGCGGCATCACACGTTATCCAATTTTTGCCTCTCCCGTTGTACCGCTTTAGTTTCCACGAATGGCAGGTCGTGGCAATGTAGATCTTTGCCGCTGCCCATGCTCTTAAAAAAACATACTCCATTCACCCCGTATTGGATGCCACCCTCCCAACAATATACAAAACCCCATCATTTTTAAAATCATTTCAATTATAAATTAACATAAAAATAAAAAATATAAATTACACTATTTAGAAGTACATAAAAAAACTCTATAAAACAAGATATGACAAAAATATTTTATTTTATCAAATTTTCAATATAAATATACAAACAAACAAAAGTTATCGAGAGAATGTAATAGTGACATTAGTATCCATTTCAGCACAGAGGGGTATAAAATATCATGTATTTTAAAACTATTTAAAATAAAATTAATATAAAAATGTAAGATACAAATTATATACTACCTCTGTCCCTAAAAGATCGTCACAAATTGACTTTTTTAATCAAATTGTGACACTCTTTGACCACAGATTAAATATAGCCTTAAATAATTAAATATTATAACAATTCGATATTCCCAAACTATATTTAAAATAAACTCAATTTTACTAAATTTACAGTATAACTAATTATACTTTTTCCATAATTTGCGGTCAAAAAATGTCACAGTTTTCCATAATTGAATTTAACTGTGACAATCTACGGAGGAGAGATTATTGCAAAATTACTTCAAAAGTTTACTCTTTTCATCATCTTCGGTTCTTCTCATTTTACAAATAACTTTTAACTAACTACGAAGTAATAAATACTCCATCCATATCAGATACAGAATGGCAAATACAGCCATTAGTGAGGTTTCTATACCAGCAGATATAGACACAATAAGTTCTAAGAAAATGGTGACACTTTTTCACAGTATTTGCCTTTGGATATGTTCTTGAGCATCTCTCCATGTATATGCTCCCAAGGCTATCTAACGACAGCGTTTAATTGTATCCAAATCTACATTTAATCCTTGAAATTTGTAAATAGAATTGAGATCAAAATGAATCTGGCCAATACATAATGATAATCTAAATAAATCTGGGTGACTTATTATTAAATCAAATCTCTATTAATCTAGTGAATGAGATTGAAATCAAGGTAAACTGTTGTTCCTATCTGGCTAATACACATAATTTCACAAAAGCATACCATTCATTGACCCTGTTAGGGAAGAGCATTTTCAATTAGCGTTAGCGAATTGGATAAAATTTTAATGGTGTAGATTAATTCTGAAAACGCTAATGCTAAAGGCTATCGTCGGATAGACTTTTCAAAACGCTAACGCTAATCTCTAATACTAGTGCTAAACGAGACCTTTAACTCCAAGTTTCTCACCCAAACCTTAGGAGAAATTTACCCATGACATTTCAAGGATTCCTAAAATATGAAATACCATCAACTCTCCATTATATCCCCAATCTTCACTCATGATTTCTTTAAACCTCATACACAATGTAAAAGTCTTAGGGCTAGAGTTAAGTTCTTGGATCGTTCGTTAATAATATCTTTAAGAACGCTAATGCTAAAGGTTTTCTCATTGGGCACCTTTCAAAAGGCTAAAGCTAAACGCTAACGTCAAACGGATTCAAAGTTTTCGTGCATTGAAGAATGGATGTGAAGATAAAATGAATATTTGGTAATAAATTCTTACCAAAAAATGTGTCAAAATCTTCCAAAATTAATGACAGATTGCCAGCTTCAGTCTAGGTACTATATAAATAACAATCATGTGCCATTCCAAGGAAGTAAGCAATTGCTTCCAAATTCAACCAATTATACCTGAATTGCAGAGTTGAAACCCTAAATGACGAGGAAGAAGGTGAAGCTCGCTTTCATCAGCAATGACTCGGCGAGGAAAGCGACATTGAAGAAGAGGAAGAAAGGGCTGATGAAGAAGGTGAGCGAGCTGAGCACTCTGTGTGGGATCGACGCGTGCGCCATAATCTACAGCCCGTACGAGAACCAGCCGGAGGTGTGGCCAAACACGGCGGGGGCCCAGAGGGTGGTGGCGCAGTTCAAGAGGATGCCGGAGATGGAGCAGAGCAAGAAGATGGTGAACCAGGAGAGCTTTATCCGGCAGAGGATCGCGAAGGCCGGCGAGCAGCTAAAGAAGCTCCGCCGGGAGAACAGGGAGAAGGAGATCACGGAGGTGATGTACCAGTTACTGACGGGGAAGGCGGCGGCCTTGCAGCAGAGCTTGATCCTCACGGATCTGAACGATCTCGCGTGGATGCTAGATCAGAACCTCAAGGAGATCGACAAGAGGATCGAGACTCTCAAGAAGGAGGCGGCGGCGGCTCCGGTGGTGTCTCAGCCTGCCGCGGCGGTGATTCAGACCGTGACGGCGGCGGCGGATCAGCAGGAGGTGGTGGGGGTAGATTTGGGGCAGAGGCAGAATTGGTTTGTGGATTGGATGATGAGTAACCCTAATGAGCACATGGGGTTTGAGCACGGCGGGGGAAGCGGCGGCGGCGGCGGAGGGGATGATATGAATATACCCAACCACCACGCTGTGTGGCCCGGTGCTTTCTTTCCTTGATTTTACTCTGTCGACTGTACTCCGTATTTTTTAGATGGTATCATGGTACACTTCCCCCTAAAATAATTTGAGCAATGCTAGACCCCAAATGTACATCACTCTCTTCTCCACTATAAATTTTTATTTGATTTTTATTTACTTATTTTTTAAATTTTTTTGCCTTTTTTAGTGGACAAGGAGGGGGTGGGGACATATTAAATGAATAATTTATTTTTTTATTTATGTTCTGCATTTCACCTCACGTGTTATTTAATAAAATGAATTAGAAATGGAATGCTTAAATTTAAAAATTTATTACTTCCTCTGTTTTTTTTAATCATTATTATTTTGTATTCAAGGTATCCCGATAGTTTTTATTTTCATTTGACCAAAAAAAATATTGTCACTACTTATTTTGTAGAAGTTTTATTATAGTTTTAAAATATGACAGGCCAGGTCCTGATATTTTATGGGTCTTAGGCCAATTAAAAAAAATTGACTTCTCTTATAATTATTTTTTGAAAGATCAATATCACTTATGATATGTTTGAGAACATGGATTTGGATTTCAAATTCGGATTTGGTTTAAATTACATGTTTGGGAAACTTAAGCATTTTGAATTTGGATTTGAACCAAATTCCTTACATTCAAAACAAAACTTAATTTGAAATCCACACATCCCATTGTCATTTGAAACTTAAGATTTCAAATTTTGGAATTGAAATGAATGAACTGAAATTAAATGCTAGTTGCCAAACACTACTTTAATGAATTAAAATGGTTGAGTGTGACATATTATATTGTACTACATAAATTTACTTATAGTTGAAAGTTTAAAACTCTAAATTGATTATTTTTACAATAATATATTACTAGATCTATTAGCGAAAAAATGATTATGGCCCCCTATGAAGTGGGCCTAGGCGGCAGCTCATATGCCTACTCTTAGAGCTGGCCCTAAATATGTAAATTTTATTTTTTAGTTTTATACCAATATTTATATAAAATCATTTTATAAAAGATGAGGTTTTATAGCAAAAACAAAATAAGAAGTGTTTTAAAAACGGAGAAAGTAAGAGTGTGGACAATGGTGAATAAAAAATGGAATATAACGCAATGACGTGGAATATTTCAACTAACTAATGCTCAAAGAAAAATTAAAGATGTCACATACTTTAAATATGGTGACTCGAAATCTTTAAAAATGTCAACAACATTGCAAAAAATTAAACATTTCAAATAAGATCCACGAAAGGAATGTTGACTTCAAATCCATCAATGTATTTGTATTTTGGATTCCCAATAGCAAAGAATGGAGTGCAAATATCATTTTTTAGTATTTGCCTTGAATCACATATTCCTTACTTTCTACTTTAAAAGAAAAGTCAAATAAAAAATCTTTATGATCCAAATGATAAAGAAGGAACTTAATTTTACTATGACAAGAATATTTTATTTATTATTTTTTTTGTGAATGTAATCAAAAGATAATTTTCTTTAAAAGAGAAAAAAACTTTATGGTCATCATATCATTATATATATATATATATATATATATATATATATATATATATATATATATATATATCTTTATATCTTTAATTTAAGAGTTGAACTCTGATAATTGTGACATATGGCGAGTCCACTTAGCAAAACTTTAACAAATCATCTTCCACCTATTAATGACTTGAATGATGTGGCATTTTAAATCAAAATATATAGTATATGCCTTATATACGGAGTAACTATGATCTTAATTTAGTAACGTAATTATGACCCGTGCAACGCACGGGTGTGATACTAGTTATTTTTAGAATCTTTAACCTTACAAAATTAAATTTGAGAGATGGCTTTCAAAACTGTGATATCAAAGTACTCGCTTCAGAGTCGCGAGATGACCGGATCAAGGTTCATGCAGGTGAAGGCAAAGCTGTTGGACAACATAAATAATGTTCGGACGTGTGAAGGTGAGGTAGTCCGTCCAGGGCTCTGACAATAGATCGGTAAAGAGAGGGCTTTGTTTATTTCTGCCTCCATCATATAGAGGGCTTTCTTTAATTTGCATGCATGATGTAGGCGAGTGGGATCCCGAAAACCAGAAGGTTGGTTGGGATAGACGGTCTCTCGGAGAGTGCCATGTATAAAAGCATTCTTGACATCCAATTGATGAATGGGCCAACCATGGCTCCGAGCAAGACTGAGCACAATTCGGATAGTAGTCGGTTTAACCACTGGGTTGTATGTCTCATCATAGTCCACACCAAAGCGTTGATTAAATCCACAGACCACCCATCAAGCTTTGTACTTGGTCAGTTCAGCTGTAGCAGTGGCGGATTGAGAAAAAAATTGACTGGAGACACCTTAGGTGAATGAAGATAAGAAAAACAAAAGGATCTAGGGAGCACTCTTAAAAAATTGGGGTCAGGGCAACAAGCGCTCTTAATTTATTTTTATATAACCAATGTAAAATGAGAAGTAAATTTCATGATTAGAAACATTCAAATAATTAATGTGAATAATTCCAAACGAGAAAAAAATATGGATTACATTAGCTCGCTTAATTATTAATCTTAAATATTTCACTTATAGACTCTATTCTTATGATGATTTCTTATTTTTACTTTCAAGCTTCATCTTTTTAATTTTTTAACATTTCTTTTTAACCTGATTTTTAACACTATTAGATGGGCTAATCCATGAAATTAATCATTTCACATTATCAATTTCCAAAATTTTTAAGTTCATATTAAGATCATTTCACAGTAAAAAGAAAACCAGTGCAAAATAATTTATGAAAACTAAAAACACAATAAAGGTGTCTACAAATAACATTTGTATGGTAGTCTAATATATTATACCAGTAGTACATTTTACTCCGTTCGTTTCCCAAACAATCAACTTTCTATTTTAAGAAAGAAATTTGTGGTCTTCAAAATTTCTCTCTTTTCTACATTATTTTTAATTATATAATTTTATTTTCCATAATGTTCGTGTCAAGTCATTTTTCTGGGATGAAGGGATTAATATAGGGGAATTTACTTAAATATCACTAAAACATAATGACTTTCCGTAAATAGCATCAAATGTGTTTTTCTTCTCCAATGTAACACTTTTAGTCATTATGCATTAGTCATTATTCAAGTAAATATTTGCCATCACTGGACATTATGGACATTATTAAGTGCTATTTAGGAAAGAAAACAATTTAAGTGCTATTTAGGGAAATGACTTGAGTTTTAGTGCTATTTAGTGCAAATATTTCAATAATATATTAACATTAAAAAATGTAGTAAATAAATTAGAAGAAACTTCACGATAATAATCATTCACATATATCTTACTTGGAAGTTGGAACTTCTTAGGAAAAACAGAAAAGTAATATAAAATGCTACTCCCTCGTTCTAAAACTTTCTTCCCAGAGTACTATTCCAACTTCACGAGAATTTATATTTATTTGTGTTTTTTCATGACCTATATGATAAAATATTCTTGTCATCACTTGTTTTGTTGAACTTTTGATGTAGTTTTTAAATATGTATATTTTATTTTTTATTTCTATACCAATATTTAAATAAAATAGATTGAAAAAATTTGAGATTTTTCTTCGTTTTGCGCAACAGGAAGAAAGTTTTAGGACAGAGGGAGTACATTTTATTAGATTGTGCTTGAAAAGATATGGAAAAATTGGGTTGCGACAATGCACTCGGGGCACACTTTGAATTTGATTCGGGGCACTTTTTTTATTCAATCTAAAAATTTCTTTTTTAATAACTTATTTTTGGAATCGATTGGGGGCATGTGCCCCTCCCCCATGCCCAAGCTATAGACCCGCCCTGACCTGTAAGACCAACTTTATGATAAACAAGTCACTTTCCTGAAATAACATTTTGGCTAGGGTGAGGTGGTACTAATTCCCATGTTTTATTATGTATCAAATCATTGTATTCTTTACACATAGCAACATGCCAGTTTAGACTTTTAAGCGCACTATATGATGTAGATGGAAGAGAAAAGAGATGATGGTTGTGGTATTGAGATTTAAGATTGGTTTTGGATGATATATGTCAGCTTTGGATTCAGTGACCATATGTTGATTGTAGGGCTGTAAACGGATAGCCGAAAATCCGATTACCGTCCGCATCCGTATCCGTTTGAAGAGGAAATATCCGCATCCGTTTTAAACAGATATTATCCGTATCCGATTAAGGATATCCGATTACTAAACGGATACGGATCTGGTAATTGTATATCCGATCCGTTTAAAATCCGATCCGAATATGCATCCGTTTAAATAACCGTTTATCCGAATATCCGATCCGTTATATATAGTTTTTCCTAATTTTTTATGTTTATAATTTGTTTCTCTATTGATATTTCAAAATATAAGACATTTTTATATACAAAATAAATGTGTAGACACATAAAAATAAATACAAA